CCTGAGGCTGAGCAGGGGTGAGGTACTTGAGACCTGAGGCTGAGCAGGGGTGAGGTACTTGAGACCTGAGGCTGAGCAGGGGTGAGGTACTTGAGGGGCTGTGTGTCTCAGGTGAGAAGGGCAGTAGGCTGGTACTGCAGGAGCTGGGCTGTGGAGACAAGCAGCATTTTCCTTGCAGACTTGTACATGGATAGGTTAAGCAGGCATAAGGAGCAGGTCTGGGAGCCGGAGAGGCGGCTCCAGCCATCTGGTGAAGAGCAATGGCTGCTCTTCCAGAGGCTCCAGTCCCCTTCTCAGCACCCACATGGTGGCTCACAGCCATCTGCAACTCAGGTTCCGGAGCCTTAACGTCCTCTTTTTTTCTTTTATAAAGATTTATTTATTCATTATGTATACAGCATTCTGTCTGCATGTATGCCTGCAGGCCAGAAGAGGGCGCCAGATCTCATTACAGATGGTTATGAGCCTTCATGTGGTTGCTGGGAATTGAACTCAGGACCTCTGAAAGAACAGCCAGGGATCTTAACTGCTGCCCTTCAACATCATCCTCTTTTGACCTCTTCCGGCACACACATATTTTATGTACATGCACACAGGCAAAACACTCATACACATAAAGCAAAATAAATCTTTAAAAAAATCTGAAGCCTAAACCAGGTGTGGTGGCACATGCCTTTAATCCCAGTACTTGGGAGGCAGAGGAAGGTGGATCTTTGAGTTCGAGGCCAGCCTGGTCTACAGCGTGAGTTCTAGGGCAGCCAGGGCTACACAGAGAGACCCTGTCTCAATCCCTGCTCCCCCAACTCCCACAAAAAAAAAAAAATCCCAAAACCCAAAACCAACCCCCCCCCTCAAGCCTGAGAAGTAATCTTGAGATTACCAGATGGGATGGAGCTGGTGTATGGGTGTTGATATATAACCTGGTTGGCCTTAAATTTAAGATATTCCTGCCTCAGCATCCTGAGTTTGAGGATTATTGTTGCCTGAGGGCTTCTCTCCAGGTTCCCCAAGCCCTGCAGTCCCACAATCCACATATAAAATAATCACTCAGACACTTATATCACTTATAAACTGTATGGCCGTGGCAGGCTTCTTGCTAACTGTTCTTTTATCTTAAATTAACCCATTTTTATAAATCTATACCTTGCCACGTGGCTG